GATATATTCAAACTGATTCAGAAAAAAGCCTGTCAGCCCAGAATCCTAGAGGGAGCAAAGGAGCTTATTTCGTGGCAACCTTGTCAACACACTGTCTTAATTTTGGTAATAATAAACAATATATTAAACCTACTTTTCTGCCAGAGCGGCCTGGGAGTTTCTGTTCTACCTTTTACATGTATGAGTGTTCGCCTGCACGTATGTAAGTGTACCACACGTACACTTGCCAATGTGTACAGTGCCCAAGGAGGACAGAAGAGGGTGTTGGATCCCCTGGAGCTGGAGTTATGGATGGTTGTTAGCCACCATGTGGGTGCTGGGAACAAAACCTGAGTCCTCTTGCCAGTGCTCTGAACTGCTGAGCCATCACTCCAGTGCCTACCTTAATTATTTTACTTCTCTGCTTTAATTATTTAACTGTTGATATGAAGATGATTTATTTTATTTTTATTTTATGTGTATGAGTGTTATGCTTGCATGTATGTAAGTGCATATGTGTCATGCAGTGCCCCGGGAGGCCAGAAGCGGGTGTTGGATCTCCTGGAACTGGAGTTATGGATGGTGTTAGTCACCCTGTGGGTGCTGGAATTTGAACCCAGGCCTTCTGCAAGGGCAGACAGTGTTCTTAATTGCTGAGCTATCTCTCCAGCCCAGAAGATTGTTTTGGTAAGGATGTTGTTCTACAGCCAGGTAGCCGTCTGATTCGCTTAGAAGTGAATCTAGGGGACCACTTGGGACACCAGTGGTTCTCAGCAGGCACTTCCCAGTTCCCAGTGTTGATTCATCCTAGGTAAGTTAAACTTTTCATCTGTTTGCAGCCTATGCTGTTGGCACCTGTTTCTTTCCTTCTTGGCTGTGAGAATGCTTAAGAGGTGGTATTTCTGGAAGCATTTGAAATAACTTGACAGACAATAATTTAAACAGGTAATGATGTAAAAATTGAAAAAGCCTCAGTAACTGAGGTAAATGGGAGCCATCTGTGGTGTCCATTGGCTGGCCCAGCCCCTCCCCCACATTCTGCTCAGATTCAGTTGGAGAAGTAACTGGAGATTGATGAGGAATTGTCTTTCCTAATCTTGTGTCACCTCCTTGGAACTGGTTTTGTAGAAATAAAGCAACAGTTAATTTGTGGCAAGATGGGCTTCAGGCCAGTGGATGCAACCTCTGTTTCATCAGATGATGAACTGTCAATATTGTTTATGTAACTTTATTGGAAAGAAAATTGAATAGTTAAATAATTTTAAATAGTCAATGATGTGCCTTATACATTACGCATGCAATAGTAAGGTAATAGCTAATCATTCCATAAAAACTCTTTAAATGTGTTGGGCCTATAAGTTGACTCTCAGTTGATTGAGAAGAGAGAGCTTTGCCTTTAGGGCTAAATTCTCAGTGGTGAAAAGCTGTCAAGTCGATTTTTATCAAAAGAGTCTTGATTTTGACCCAGCTGTTGCTTTTCTGTCCCCAAGTGTTGCTTCCTGTCTTTATCTGGTGATTTGGCATGGTGAGGTGCAAAAGATAGTTGTCTGATGAGGTTTGAGTATGTGGCATGCCTTTGCTGCAAACATAAAAGGAATCTGTTCTAATAAGAATTATTAATATGCTTTTAAAATCAATCAGGTTATGCCTCAGTACTCTTACAAAACTATCCAGTTCCTACCATACATAGGCTTGAAATCCCTTTTGGAATTTTTATTATATTCTTACAGAGTGGTTATAGTTTTGAAAGTTTTTCATGTGTACCGACTCCTGCATTCATTCAAGACTATGTTGCTCTTTTGCAGGCTGGCTTCAGATTCCTGAGCCATTCTTCTGCCTCAGCCCCTGAGTAGCTAGAACTATGTACATCAGGTCCAGCTTCCATACACTGACTGATAATGATGCAAGGATGAACTGAAGCTCCAAAATGAATGACTGCCCAGTGTCACAGTCAGTGCGTGACTGAGCTGGAGATCTTGGTGCCATGACTTAGTGGTGTTCTGTGAGACTTGACAGGAAACAGGTGGACTTCCCAGGGCCTTTTGGGAAGTTGCTGCCACAGCTTGCAAGTCTCTGGGGCTCTGGCCCTCACTTTGGTGGCATAGTGGAGTCTTCTAGGATGTGGAAGGCCTAGGGTGGCCTGGGCAACAATGGTGTAAAGAGTACCCAGGGGCAGTGGTGAGAGTGATGTTTTATGGAGCACTAATTGAAGTTCAGCTCACCTGCCACCCACAAGGGTCACTAAACTGAGCCGATGTTTGAAGCTCATGATTATGGCACTGGTGCCGCATAGCTGGTGAGGAGCATGTGGCAGTGGTATTACCAGAGAAAGCTCTAGAGGACTGAGTGGGGCTCTGTCAGGATCTAGATGGTTAAGGGGAAGCAGGTAGGCCAGACGTTGATGTGCTTAGTTGGTACTATATGGGAACTAGAACATGGGCCCTTCACCTGCTGCTTTATTCTGGATGTCATGTCTTCACTCAGCTGTGTCTTCTCTGGCTTTGGAGCTCTGATTCCCCATCTGGTTGGATGTGGGATCAAGGGCCTTTATGAAAGAATTGTCTTTAGTGGTCCAGGATTTCCCAAGTGAGGTAAACATAAATACCTTGTGGCATTGATGCTATCACCGTCCCTGAATTAAATAGCCACGAGGTAGTCAAGACAAAAATAAAGGGGAGTTTGGAATTTTGCTAACTGAAGGAAGTGAAGGCAAGTGTCTCTGTAATGAGGTTGACAGCAGTTATACTGCCATGCAGATTTTCTTTCCTGTTCCTTATCAAGTCTGTAGTGTTCCCATCTTTCTATAGTGAGGGCCCTGCTCTCCAGTCCTGGTTTGAGGAAGGCCTGGAGAGGAAGCCCTGACCCCTCTGCTCTGGGGTTCCTTGGCACTGAGCCAAGTTCACCTTCCCTCAGAATGAAGGCTCTGAGACCTAGCTGCCAGCCTACTCTAGGTTCCCCCTCTTCTCTATCCCTGTCATTTTTCCAGCTTAAGCTCCAGTGCTGTCTGTCCCTGGGTCCCAGTGCCCTGCAGCTCTTGGATGCTTCTGCCCTCTTCCAAACCCTGTGTGTCCCTAGCCCAGCCCCTTCATCTGAGTTCCTTCCAGTGGAGGGCTTTCTGGGGTGTGGTCCCTTCATCTGCCCTCCTGGCCTGTGGTCAGCGCTTCCAAACTATTAGCTTCTATGGCAGCTAGAATTTAGGTGGGAGCCCTGTTTCTTAAGAAATGTGCCTGGAAGTTCTCCTGTCTCCGTGGGTGCTGTTGCCCTGCCTGTTGATGACGAGGCCTGGGCCAGTTGCTTACGTCTTCAGTACACTTATGCTTGCAGCTTATCATCACACAGCCTAATGCTTTATGGAAATAGATGACTAATGTCACGGACTACTCAGAGGGGGACTCTTGCAAGGCTTTCCTTACTTTCCTGACTCCCTGCAAAGGGTAAGACACACCACGTTGCTTGAGATGATCCACTCTTTATTTATGATTACCCATCCTTATCAACAGCACACTTGGGTCTGGTGCTAATTGCAGACAAAGAGATGGAGACAGAGTGTGCTCATGGAGTTGGGTGTGGGGGAGCCTCCCACACACTCTTCTCAGGTCGATTGCTTCTACTCTGCCCAGTTCTCCCCCCACCCCCAATTCTAGTAATGCTACCAGGGGACTCTATCCCTATGCCCAGCCCTGAACCTAGGTGCATAGCATCAGGAAAATTAATTTTAGAAGAAAATGTGATCTAATACAGTTAATCTGTCCCAGAGACACTGTACTCTCCCATACTAGCCACCCTAAGGGCCCTCTGGCACTTCATCTGTTCAATGGTAAGAGGGCACAGGGTCTGAAATGTCCAGGCTGGTGTGGAAGGTCAGGGGGAGCATGTGTTGTGTATTTATCACAACCATGGTCTTGCTGAAGAGGCAGAAGTCAGTGGCAGCAGAGAACAGGCACCTGGAAACTGTGGAGCCAAGGGATGACCCAGACCTCGGAGTAGCAGTGCAGAATCTGAAACAGAAACAGCCCACCTGTTGAGGACCAGTTGAGGACCCCCAACTGCCACAGAGACCCTGCTCACTTAGGACAGCTCTTACAGTGTTCCTGGGGTATGCCAGGCAACTGGGAGCTATGCATGTGTGTGTGTGTGTGTGTGTGTGTGTGTGTGTGTTTGTATTCTGTGCTGAGGGATATGCTATGTAAACAAACGGTCTCTCACTACCCACCACCAGTTCTTACTTTAGAAACTTTTAAACCAACTGAAATGTTGGAGTGATTCACGACTACATACTTTTCCCCTGTATTTAGGAATTGTTAAATTTTCCACATTGCTTTTGCTTTGTTTCCGCAGAGAAATCATATATACTACACATGGTATGTCCTATGTAGTTATGTCATTTACTTTGATTTGATTGATTTTACTTGATTTTGTTTGAAAGCTTTCCTTGCTATAATCTCTCCATGCCAAATTCAGAGCATTCCTCTCCTAAGAGGCCCCAGAACAAGGTCAAGAGATATAGGTCATGTGAGGGGTGGGAGGTTACCTCCTTTCACCCTGTGTCCCTGAGAAAGACTCTGCTGTCCTGTGTTCAGCAGTGAGGAAACACTGGGAGATGCGATTTCCTTGGAAATAGGGTTTGGAAGTGTGCTGTGAGTGAAGGATTGCAGCCCCTGGAGGAGATGGGTGATGGGGAGGGCCACGCCTCAGCAGACAGACTCTTTTACCATACCTGCTTCAAAGCAGGGTTGGTCTGGAGGTCACAGTTGTCCAGGTGGGGGTGCATAGTCTTCCTGCATGTGGTTCTGCCAATTTCCACCTCTAGCATGTATTTCAGGCCTTTCACCACCTGAAGAAACCAAAGGCCCAAGATTGAATTACTTGGCATAGGACACAGAGGGTCTCGGCTCCCTCCCCTGGCAAGGACTGCTTTATGGCAGGTGGGGAGGGCACTAAGGAACTGGGTGGGAGGGATGAAAGCTCAGGACTTGTCAGAAGACCTGATGTGGATGAAGCAGGTCCAGACTTCAGCCATCCCTCTCCCTTTCCTGATGGCAGTGCTTTATGTCCCATCTTAGGTGACTGTGTTCTGCCCCACACTTGGTGTTCAGGAGGGATGATGGAGTAGGGTTGCCTCAGGACACAGACAAAGTCCTGTCCCCTTTCTCTTTAACTGCCAGCTCCCAGTAACCTTCAGTAGTGTCTAAATGGATGCCAGGTCTGCTGGCTTCTAAGTTGCTTAGTGGCATACGTGGTACCGCCTGGCTTCTCTGCTCTCCTGAGAACTGTGATTTGAGTTTCAGAATAGCCCTTATCCACTTGGACATGGCAATGACTTAGTTCTCGTTCCTTGTTTGTGGTCTTTTTGTTGGGGGAAAGTCCCCCAACGTTTAGTCTCAGTCTTACCAAATACCATGTAAAATAGTCTGTCACGAGGGTACGGAAGGATAATGTCCCATCCCACTCACAGGGGGACCTCAAGCACTCAGGGCCAGAGATGTCCCTGATTGCCTGAGGTTGGACCTTGGAGTACTGATAGTGCCATACACTAGACTGTCCCTATAGCATTCTTCCTAATAGAAGAACATGCCATTCTTAGAGTTTGCAGAAGACTATAGAAGCCACCCTGACTCTGAACAAACACAAATGCTGTAAATCTATCACCCCCAGAGCCTCTAGAGCTATTCCCCTCTAGGCCCTAGTGCACAGTATGTGTGTGGCTTCCAAAGTCAGCTTCCCTTGTTCACAGAGTACTGCACAGTGTCCCTAGGTTCAGCAAATGAGAGATTGCCCAGTATTCCCCTCCTGCCATCCATGTTAATGTGCTCTTGGGCTACAGGGATGAGTGAGGCTGGCTGTGCCCAGTAGGGTACCCTGGGAATGAGAGTGCTGAGTGGATACAGTCAGTCACTAGGAAGAGGGATGGAGGTAGAGTGGGTTTGTGAGTCAGAGAAGGGAGTTGACTCGGGTCTAGCATAGGATGAGTAGACCCAGTGAATAGTGAAGTGGCTTTGTGGACTGCAGGTGAGGGACAAAACCAGGGGATGACCCAGACCCTGCACCCTGGTGGGGCAGCTCTGATTGGTGCTGTGGTGTGGTAGCCCCTCTGTAGGGCTGCTAACCTAAGCACAGCACTCCAGGATCCTCATTCCTTCCCTGCATCTTCTTATTCCAACTGCTGGGCTCTGACCAGAGGTGGTTTGATTAAGCAAAGTTCCAGCTGCCATGCTCGCCTCTGGGTGACACTGGCCTTGGCTGTTGTCCTCCTCCCTCTGGCCCTGTGTTGTCGGTAATGGATGTTGTGGCTTAGCTTTTCAGGGAAGTTCTGAGGTGCTAGCCACTAGTTGTAACCCTGTACCTGCACCAAGGCTCTGCTGACATGGGATTCCTTGAACAAGAAGATATCGTTTGTGCAGTTGTTGAACTTTTCCACACTGTATCTGGCTGCTTTGAGCACTTCTGGGTTATTGGTCTTTATTGTTTTGGGAAATCCTGGTTTCACATGTTGGGAACAAAACTCTGAAAGAAAGAAAAGAACCAGACAGAAACATTGATGTCTGTAGGGCGCTTGGTCTGTGGATCATGCCTCCGCCTGGAGTGGTGCTCAGTTCTCCTGGTCACATTGCCCTAGCCGTTTCGTCACCTTCACCTGTGTGCCCATCACCTGTCCAAACTACCACCATGCTGTGCATCCCTGTGATGCTCTATACTTGAAGTTGAGGGCAGGTGCCAGAGCTGTACAATGGTACAGTCCCTGTCCCCTAGTCCCTGCCTTCATGACGTTTTTTTCAGAACCCAGGCTTATTTTTAACACGTGGCCCCAGGCAGCAAGATAGCAGACAGGAAATGGTCTGTTAGAATTCAGCCCAGTCTGGCCCTCAAGGCTGACTGTCTTTCTCTCGGTGTCCTTCCTGCACTCTTGCACCCTTGTCAGAGCCTTATACGACATGGTACGAGAGGGTGGTCAGGCTGATTTCTACCTTGTACTTTTATTCCTTATACCAGGGATTTCATATTTGTGTGTAAAAAGAACAGGGGAGCAGTGTGAGGGGTGTCTGTGTCAGAGCCAGGTGGAACTCCCCAACTTCCCTTCTTGGAAGCCCATGCTCCTTTGTTCCCAGAGGCATGGGGCTGGCTGACCCTGAGAAACCCCAGTGACCCTATTTTAGTCCACCCCCCTGGAGACCCTGAGTCTTTCCAGCTCAGCTTATTCACAGCACACATGGTGCTGCCCAGCATCTGCTTGAACCCTCCTTTACCTGCCAGCTCTGGGAACAGGATGCAGGCACTTGAGATTCTGCAATAAGCAAGATCAAAACCTTAACAAGCTAAGTTAACTGTAACAGCAAGCTAAGTATGGCAGGTAAGTGGGGGAAGGGAACCTTGACTAGGGAAGCTGGGTTGGTAGGCAGTGCCATCTGCATGAGGAGACCAGAGGGCCCTGGATAAGGGACACGGACAGAGCATCAGCTCCCAGGGTTTCAAGAGAAGTGGCTGAAGTAAAGTGAGCACGTGTGGAGGTAGGCATGGTCTGGACAGATGCATGCATTTAACCATTCAGGTTTCAGGCTCTGGACTTCATTACCTGGAAAATAGAAGCCTCAATGAGCCACATGGCTCCCTAGAGCACAAAGTGGCTTGTGGTTCTTCTGTCTTGAATTTGGGATTCTCCATATTTTTTTTCCTGAATGGCCATGGATGAGTTGCATATGAAAATAAAAGGTCAGGGTTGGTAAGATGGCGCAGTGGGTAAAGGCACTTGCTGCCAAGCCTGATCACAAGCATTTGATTCCTAGGACCCACATGGTGCAAGGAGAGAACCTACTCCCACCAGTCATTTGCAGACTTCCACAGGCACATGGTTGCCCACATGTGTTCATGTGCATGATACACATAAATGAATGTAGTAAAAATTTAAAAGCAATAAAAATAAAAAGTCCAAGGTTTGTGGGGGATGGGATAGAGGGGCTTTTAGATTGAAAGTTTATCAGATTGGTGTGCTAGGGACTATCTAGAGATGGACAGTCTTGAGAGGCAGGTGCTGGCCAGTGTGGCTGTATTATGTCAACTGTAGATCCTGGGGTCCCTCTGGGAACAAGGTACCTTCCCCACATCCACATGACTGTGTAGATGGTCATTGAGGCCCAATGAAAGTGACAAAATTCCCTGAGTCTGGGTCTTTGTTATGAGTCCCATGGCTCACACCCACCTATGCTTTGAGGCCCTAAGTGGTGAGGAATATGTCACGAGGAGCCAGCCTTTTAAAATTCACATTTAGTTTATGTATGTATTTTGCCTGCATGTATGTAAGTGCACCACATGTGTACAATGCCTGTGGAGGCCAGAAGAGGGTATTTGACCCCTTGGAACTGGAGTTATAGATGATTGTTAGCCCCTATGTGGGTCCTGGGAACTGAACCCCAGAGAACTGAACCCCAGTTCTCTGAAAAAGCAGCCAGTGCTCTTAACTGCTGAGCCATCTCTCCAGCCTCTGGACCTGTCTTTCTGAGGGAACTTATATCCCCTGGTATGCATAGGTGCTGGTATTTCCCAGGATTTACCCACTGGGACACACCCAGTATAGAATCTCAGCTCTGCTTCTCATTGGCTGTACTGGCTTGGTTGCAAGCAGCTTGGCTTTTCTGAGCCTCAGTGTCCGATCTGTAATGAGGACCGTGATGGCACTGATCTCTCAGGGTGAGAATAAATGAGGCAGTTTGCATGAGGCAATTATTGTCCAGCACCATAACTGATTCACAATGGCCATAGGAAGGGTTTCTGGGACAGATCCCCCCCATTGGAAACCTTGGAATACAGGCTGGGCCATGGGCCTCTCAGGCCCAGATCCTGCCTGTACCAATTTCCAGAGCCCTCAGTGGGAATCCCTCACACCTAGGCCATGGGCCATGTTCCTAGCTCTTGCTGCAGTGGGGAGCAGGTGACTGCATGACTACATATTCCCTGCTGAGGCAGGCAAGCTGCTGCAAGTTCTACTGGAGAGAGACTGGGGAAGGCAGAGAGGGTGGCCAACAGTAGGGGAGTTTCCTGGAAGAGATGACACATTGAGAAAGGTTTTTCATTCTTACCAACAGCAAAAGGGCAGAGACAACGACTATGTCAATTCCTAGGTTGTGAAGGGTGGGGACACTGCCCTGGGCTCTGCGTGTGGGTCTGGGCAATTTTGCTCCTGGGCACAGAGTAAAGCCATATACCCAGAGCAGGTATGTTCAGCATTCCTGTTACCCTTGCCTTGTGTCCACAGAAGGCTCCAGAATCTCACAAGAAGTAGGGGGGGTATAGATGCTCATTGAGGCCCAGGTTCTCAACTCTTTGAGCCTTGAGAGGGGCCTGTGAGTACCCCATGTTGCAGCTGAGGCCCTCACTGGAAGCATCAGGAAGGATAGCAGCTCACTGGGTAGAGGTGGGGTTCACTAGCACAGCAGAGGAAGGACCTGACCACAGGCTTGCAAGCAAGGGGCAGGTACTGTCAAGTGCACCCCAGCTCCCCAAGCACTTGGTGAGTGTCATCACTGAGCCACCCTTCACTAAGACTCTCAGGTCAGGGCAGTGACTGGGCATTTCAAAGGTGACAGGGCAGGCTGAGGGAGGTTGCAGGATCCACAGGTAGGAAGGGGCCTGTGGTGTCCCCAGGTCCTGGTTTGTGAGGGTAGACTCTGGGTGCTCATTTAGGTCTAGGGGCAGAGAGTTCTGAGGGGGTGATCCAAGTGGCCTAGAGGATCTTCTGTGTGTAGGAGGCCTGGTGGTCGATGAGGGAGGGTACCTACGTCTAGTCTCACACATCAATCAGAAGATAGTACTGTTACTGATGGGGAGCTGACAGTCCTCCAGTGTCTCTCAAAGACTGCCCCAGATATGCCCTTATCACACTGTGGATGTAGCTACTGGCTTAGCTTAGGCCCCAGAGGAGGCAAACAGAGCACCTGCAAACCAGTATGAATACCCCCAGGTCAAGTAAGATAACTAGTGCCAAATGCTGTCTCCTGAAGACTTCTTACCTAGGCTAAGACGGCTGTGTGACATGAACACCCAGCTTCTGTCCCAAGCTTCTCCCTGGGCACCAGGGCAAGAGAACAGGAGGGATGCCAGGAAGGGTTGGCCTGTTGGCAAGCACTAAGCAGGGGAGGCAGGTTCTGGGGCTTCACCTAAGCTCGGTGTTATCTCCCCTGTTTTCCCAATGCTGTTAACCACTATTTGCTGACCACCCCCTCAGCTGCTGTGGCTTGTCTCTGTCTCTGAGAGCAGAAACTGCCCTCCCACTCCTTGTCTGTCTCCGTGGTCCCCAAGTCACAGTATCCACACTACATCAGGTCTTGGATTTTGAGGCTATGCTCTCCCACCTGCAATGCCACTGACTTCTTGGCACCTGATTTGCTATGAAGGGGTACTCCATGACCCTGGTTTCTTTTGTGATTCCCTGAATACTTTGTCTTGTCATTAGCAGCCAGACCCAGCCTGCTCCATGGAGGAAGAATGGCAAAAGCCATCTTATGCCTAGGTGCTGTTTCTGCCTGGTGAAGGATGGCCTGTTACCAGCTTTCTTGTTGAACAGAGACAGGGCCCTCTAAGTCTCCATCTTTTGGGCTGAATCTGCTTGCTGGGAAGGACATAGGTATTCATGTTTGTAGAATATATATGTATGTACATAAAATATACACACACACAGACATATATATATATATATATAATCAAGTCAGCTAACCTGGCTATACCTCAGCTTCCCAATCACAGTCAGCCCTCTACCCCTCACTGTCCACCAGCATGCTGACTGCAGGATGGATGAGAGTGTCTTCTGATCACTGGGGTCCCTGAAGTCAAGTCATAGGACAGCAGCTCACAGTAAGCAGGAAGGAAAAACCATCAGATAGAGGCTGCTGGACTATGGGCACATATTGCCTCTGTCTCCATCTGTTCCTCTGATGGATCCCAGCACAGCAGGGAACAGAAGCTGCTCTCACTGTTCCTGTGGCTGCTGCCATGCTTAATCTCTGATGCTTACTCTGCCTAGAAGCGGCCGCACCAGGATCCAGTGCTCCTTGCCCAGGGCTTGTCCCAGGCCACCAAGTCAGGAGAGTATCCTGGGAAAGACACAGAACTGGGAGGAAGCCAGGCAGATACTACCCCAGGGCAGTGTGGGACCCCACCTTGGGAAGAGGTCAGATGATCCTTCTCTTACCTGTGGAGTCTGCCCCATGGATACTGGAAGCCAAGCAGCAGAGGGCAAGCAGTACCACCAGCCGCATGGTTGCCTGGGCGAAGAAGGGCTGCATGTGGTGGGCTAAGGCGAGTGGAGTGGAACTGTCCTGGAAACAGTCCCCAGAGTGGGGTGTAACAGCCTGCCTGGGGGAGGGGACGTGGTTTCTTGCTCAATCATTTCATCAGAAGCACTTCATCTCCAGATCTTTGGGCCACAAAAGCAACCACTTCCTTTATAAAAGTATAGACGTTTCCAAGCTGTGATCATTTGAAGGGGGAGGAGGAAGCGAAGTGAGACTTGTGAGCAAAGCCTGGGGACAGTTTTTTTTTTTTCACCCCCTAACCACACACAGAGGAAGCTGAAGTAAAAAATCAAGAAGTAGAATCACTTGCCTCTGATAACCTAAATTATAACCCCCCGGTGTTCTGAGTCCTCATTAAGAGTCCTCATAGATGCCCCTTGCTATGAGTAGACATCTCTCCCACAGGAAAGCCATTTATACTGCAGTTCCAGAGGAGAATTGTCAGGTGCCTTCTGTAGCTGAAATAGGAGCCCGGCATGGGTTATTAACTGAGTTACTGATCAAGGTCCATGTTAAGCTCAACGCCAGCAAAGGAAAGAAGTGTGTGGCCAGAGGTCTGATACTGGCCAGACTCTACTTTCTGCCCAGTCCATGGTTAGGAGTAGGTGCTTGTAGCTGGCCACCTCAGTTTGAAGCTGGGTTTTGCTTCTTAACACTTGCTGATCTTAGACTAAGAATAATGTATATGCCTTAGTTACCTCTTGGGAAGTTGTGACGAAGTTGGGAGCTTCCTCAATATAAAGGCTCAGGGCAGATGTAGAGCAAGTTTTACTGGCTTCAGTGTCGGGAGGTCCATGTACTCCTTAAGACTAGGTCATACAGTTAGTGGGAAGGATGCCTGGGCCTTTGTCATCCAGAGGAGACCCATGGGCACCCAGGCTACCTGTCATTGATGTAATCAGATCATGGGAAGCTCTGCCCCAGGAGGATCCTGCTGGGTCCTGTTGAATTCCAGGCAGGACAGTTGGGATTTGTGGGACACAGACAAGACACACATATTCTGAGGACCCCACATGTTCCTGGGTGCTCAGAGGGTTGTTGTGAGGCCTCTTAGTAAGTTATTTAGCATTGTGCATGGTGGGAGGCTTTCAGTAAGTGGTAGGCTTCCTGGTGACTGTGGTACTTGTAATCATATTTGGAAATTTAACAAATATGTGACAAAGGTGGCTGTTTAATCCTCATGTTGCTGAGCAGTGTGGTGCAATAAAAAGACAAATTTGGGGATTTGAATTCCCAGCTCATGTGCTGCATGAAAGGCCTGAAAGCTTGTAAGGAGACTTGGTGGAGAACCTTGTTTCCTGTAGCTGGAAAGCTGAGATTGCTGAAAACCAAATGCAGAATCTCATTAGAATGTAGAATCTGAATAGAAGTTGAAGTTCCAGCCTTGTAGGAAGCTACTGTTAAAGTGAGAACACTGAGTGGAAGAGAATGGGATCCTGTAAGTTGGGATGAAGGATAAAGGAAGACTACAGTGAGGCTGGGGATACTGAGCTCCTCAGTTCTCATGGGTCGGTCTTCTTTGCCAGCGGGGGAGACGTTCTTCGAAGTGGTCCCATCCTGGGGGCAGTGTGCCTATGGGCCTGAACTGGGGTCAGCCTGTATGTGGTCCCCTGGGTACTGTCCCTTTCTTCAGGTCAGCATGCGGACTGCCTCCTGGGTACTGAGTCTGCCATACTGTAGTATGGATCATCCCCTGCTTATTGGGTCTACACCTGCATGGGTTGCAGGATGCAAGTAGCGCTGTGGGTACTTAGGTCAGTATGTGGCACAGGGCCTCTGAGAAAAAATGTGCGAATACCTCTGGGGACTGGACTTTAACTGGTCCAGCCTGCATCTGATCCTCTGGATAATGGGCCTTCCCTTGGGGGCAGTGTGTACATGGCTACATGGGGACCAAGCCTAATCTGAAGGTAACATGCACTCAGTCATGGAGTACTGGGCCTACACTGGAGGGCAATGTATAGGTGGCCCCCAGGGTACTGGGCCTGACATGGGGTTCAGTGTGCCAGTGGCTTCCAGGATACTGTACCTGCCCTGAATTTAGAAAGAGACGGCCCCAATAGTACTGGGCCTACACTTGGGGGCAATGTGCAGTTGGCCTCCTAGGTGTGGCCTGCCCTCAGGGCAGATGTGGGCAACCCTCTTGGTTGTGGGCCTATCCTAGGGGCAGTGTGAGGTCAGCAGCCTTATTATTATTTCGAGCATGAGAACAGCTCTCAGGGCTCTGGTTCTGCCATGAGGTAAGCAAGGAGGCATTTTGGGTACTGGCCCTTCATTAGGCAGTTGCCTGTGTGTGGTCCCCTAGATAACGAATCTTCTCTGAGCATTATGATAGGTCCCTTTAGTAAAGGGTTTGCCCTTGGGGGCTATATTCTAGTAACTCCTTGAAGACTCAGCCTGGTCTGGGGTCCTTGTGTGGGCAGTCCCCTGGGAATGGGACGTGACCTGGGAGTTGACCTGGGTGTATCATGTAGGCAGTCACTTGGGGTCCTATACTAGGGGCAGCAAGAGGGCTGCCCCTGGGTACTGGATTGGCCCTATCCAGCAACCTGAGTGGTGTCTATGTGGTGGCTTAGGCATCCATATCCCTGTACAGCACACTGGGAACCTCTCTGTTGGCGCAGTCATCTAGGTCACTTCCTTCACTGTGGACCTCCTGCAGTGGGTCATTGTTTCTTTCAGATTGCATTGTTTAGTTTCAATCACAGTGATTTTTTCTTTTTGATTATCTCACATTGTCCTGAAATGAAAGGGTGGGCTTGTCTTTGAGGGTGTCTCTGAATTCCACAAAGGCATTCCTCCCTCACCTTGGCCTCAGGTGGGTGTTAACTCAGGAGTCAGGGCCCTGGAAACTCATGGTCACACAAAACTTCCATTGAGTTAGTGACTTAGTTCTCAATCTCTGGACTTGGAAGAATGAAATTCATGAACCACAAAGGGTGAGACTTAGAAGTTTTATTATAGGGAGCTAGACAGAAGGCAGAGCTCCTGAATAACAGGAGCAAGTCCCAGGAGATGGGGTTTCATTGAGCTGCTAGTTTGGGGGGTTTTAAAGCAGAAATTGAGGTGAGGGAAGGGGCAGGTGTCAATCAAGTTGGCCCACCTAGAAGGTGTCCAGGGGGTGCCTCAATTTTAGTCATGTCCTCACATATAGCTTCCAGGCAGAGGTGCTCTTTTAGAAGAGGTAACAAGGAACCGGGAGCCAGAATTCTCTGTCTGCATTTTTTTAAAAGGAGGTATCTTTTTTGTTTAAAAACAAATTTTTTTTTCTGAACTGAGGACTGAACCCAGGGCCTTGTGCTTGCTAGGCAAGCACTCTACCACTGAGCTAAATCCCCAACCCATTGTAAAATTTTTTAAATTTATTATTATTTTATTATATGAGTGTTTTGCTTGTATATATGTAAATTCACCCATGTCATACAATGCCCTCAGAGGGCAGAAGAGGGCATTTCCATGTGGGAACTGGGAACTGACCCTGGGTCGTCTGCAAGAGCTGCCAGTGCTTTTAACCACTGAGCCATCTCTCCAGCCCCTCCTTCTGCAATTCTTGACTTCGGGCAAGGACAGAACTGCTGTAGGATCACAGACATTTCCAGAACTGATTTTGAAGTCCTTGTCCCCTAAAACTGCCTGGCCATTTTTTTGTTACAGTTCTCATCATTCCCCCTCTGAAGAGGTAGCCCTAACTGCTCTTGGAGAATTTAGGTGACCTACTGCTTCTTGCTTAATGGGGTGGTTGGGTGTGGTAGTTGGGGTACCCATCCTGTGGGCTTATCTAAGGGACCGGAAAGTGCATCAGTGGTTTCATTTGTACAATTGCCAGGTATAGTGAGGAAGGGAAGTTTGTTGGGAGACCCTGTTGCTAGGGTTGTAGTCCTCCATGTCCGGATAGCTCTAAGGGGCTCGGTGCTATATGGAAGGACTCCCTTTCTCAGTGGGGGTCTCCTGCTCTCTGCCTGACTTACCTGGAAAGTGCCGCCAAGCAGGGATGCCTGACCTTATTTGGAACATGACCTTTGGCATAGTTACCTGGAGTAAAAACTACTCCCAGGTTTTTTCTATATGATAATTAGGCATTGCCCCATAGTTGGATGATAGGATCCTGCTACCACATGTAAATAAAGCATACTATGAGCACCTATCAGTTGAATCATTGGCTGCTGCCTCCACACTATATTTTCCCTAACATCCCACTAAATAAACGGAGCTGTTTCACTGAGTCTGGAGCTGTATCACTGAACCTGCCTCCCTGGAAGGGCTCTCTTTGGTCAGTGCTCACTGGCCGTCCTGACCCTGTTCGTCGCTTCTGCTCCCTTTGTTCTCGTGGATCGGTGGCCAACGAGGGGAGGGAGAGACGCCACAGAAGTTCTTGACTGGAGCCTGGATAGAGACATGAAGGAGAAGTGAAGGTAAGAAAAGTGAACTTGGAGCCCTTTGGACAGAGTAAATGATTTCATTTTACTAGGAGCAGGAAGGAGTTAGCTCCAACATCAAGTATGTTGGTATCACATCATCATATTTTTGTAGTTTGAAAGAGTATAATTTCTTGAGGACTATACCCTATGATGTACATATTCACCAGTATATAATGGTCTACTTATTTGGGGAGTTGTTCTGTTGTGCAAACTAGTGTGGGAGAAGGCTCATTACCATGGCTCAGACATGGATGACCCATAACTTTGATAATTGTGGGCCTCCTTCTGGGCTCACAACTCAGCAACTGTGTAATCAGGTCTCTAGGTTCTGGGGAGAGCTGAGGTGGCATGGTGAATTTAGCCTCTAAGATTGTCCACGTTATTCTTGAGTTTTCTCTCTGAGTGGGGGCTGCCCTGTTCCAATGAAATACAGTACCACTCCCAGGTTCCAGATAATCAGCAAGTCCACCATATTGGTGGTAACTAAGGAGCTCTGTGGCACAGTACTCTATTGTTCTGTGGAAACCCTTCTCCATAGTGCTGAGATTTCTCCAAAGTCACGCAGCTTGATATGTTTCCTGTCCAACGGTATGTTCCTGGCTTTCAGGTTGTGGTAGGCAGCTCCATTCTGATGAGAGAAAAAGATGGGCCATGCTAACTCTTTGAAGAATCTACAGGCCTCCTCCTCCTCCACTTGCCCAGGCTTCTTCATGTATCTCTTCAGCTCTCCCCTGCTGGCATGTTCTAGTTGTAAGTGTAGATTTTCTATGGTGTTGATGATGTGATAGTGTATTTGTCAAGGTTCTCTAAAGAAACAGAACCAGTAGAATGAATATATATATGTATAGAGATTTATCAGCTTAGCTCACAGGATAGAGTCCGAGTAG